CCGTTTGTAAGAGCTTGGTTGGGTCCCGGTTGTCGGAATCCCAGCGTTTGTCCTACCGGTTCCCGTACCGGAGCGGGAATGACCCTTCCGCCGTTGGGTGTTCATGAACACCCTCTCCCCGGGGACGGACTGGTGCTGCCGAAGATGTTGAGAGTCAGTTGGCTGACTGTAACTCCACAGTCATTAGTACCAACTTCGTTTTGCAAGACTAAATCGAAACCCCGCCACTCGAGCAGCACTATCTATAAAGAGAACAGTCTTTCCTCGACGTGCAACATCCAGAACCAACATCACTCTCACTTTTGGTATCTCGATACACTATTTTGACTGAGACTCAATCACTACTCTGAAGACCATCGCGTCAGCACATACGTATATACACCCGCCACAATGGTTTACAGTAAACCAACAAGCGGAGCCATGAAGAGGTCTGCCTCGGCTCTCGAAGGACCCCCAGGATGGGGCGATGTTCCTGTATGTCCTCACCCAAGAGAAACAAACCAAGGTTCACTCTTACTGACATCCCGACTAGCCAATGATGGCCAACTCCCGCTCATCATTCCGTCCTCCTCATGCCCACTTTGCCATGATTTATCTTGACCGTGATGGCACGCTTAAGGTTGATGAATCATCTTCTATTCAAGAGCAAAATTCCACGGTCTTCACCCCAGAAGTCCGCCAGAACTTCCTCGAGATTCTGGGTGAACGCATCGGCTACTATGCCCCGGCTCACCGTATGTTACCTAGACCCCTCAGACTAATCAATATATACTAATACCAATATACAGAGTCAATGGATACATCTCCTCGTCGAGTGAGACGTCGCAAGGGCAACGCTCCTATTATCTCTATCAATGACGACCGCCTAGCTGAACAGGACACTGATAGCGAGGATGCTCCTAGTGGGTCTGCCGAAATGGTCCCTCTTCGCATTGGAGATGCCCAAAAGGTTATGGGCTATTATGAAGGCGCACTAAAGCACTTCCAACAACTAAACTGTCGCATGGTTGCTAAGGCATTTATCAAATTCATTGAGCCTCGCAAGCAGGTCCGACACCCTTACAATGGTGGCAAGCCACCTGCAGGATCTGCCCCTGGTACTACTGGCGACCCAGAAAAGACCAAGCCCGAGTGGTGGCCTCCCGGTGTTATGCACAAGGAGCCTGACCACCTGAGAAAAGAGTGTATGATTTGCTTCCAATTCTGATTTATTCTTAATCTACTTGCTAACTTATCTCTAATAGACCGTATTGAGCTCTTGCTTCACATTATCCGCAAGCTCGGTGCTTACGGTATCACTGCCGATAAGCTTAAGGATGTTGCTGGCGACACCAAGCGAAGCTTGAAGCACGCATCTCACGTCGAGATCATCTACGAGATTCTCCGCGTCCGCAAGATGGAGGAGCGTTTTGAACGAGGTGAAGTCGATGCCAATATGGTTGTCTACACCATGAACCGTGGCCCTAGCCCTAAGGGCGACGAAGAAGACGACTCCTCCTCCACCTCAGTCACTATCGAAGAGCCCGAGCACATCAACCAAGGATTGATGACCCCCATCTCATCATTCGACCAAGCATCTACCTCATTAACCACACCGATCGACACCATCCCACCAACTCGCTCCCTCCCAGGCAGCTTCTCCATGGCGGAGCCCCTCACCTTCGAAAACCCTACCCGCCAGGACCGCCCTTACTACACCACCCCTCCCCAATACACCGATTCATTCTCCTCGCAATCCATGCTCAGCACTCCCGTGACCGCGGAGATGATCAGTCCCCATGACGTCTCAGTCTCCGCCTTCGACTACTCCGCCCACAACACCTACCCCAATTCCACACCCGATCAGCGCGGAGTAAATGGCCACTACGATACCTGGACCCCGTCTTTCCGTCAGAACATCTTCAGCCCTGTTGATTACCCTACACCAGCGTCTAGCCAGGGTATGCCCCAGCCTTCAATGACCTACCAGATGCCCATGGTATCCCACATGCATGACATGTCCCATCACCATGCCCAGCAGTCCCATATGGACTCCATCCACCAAAGATCCCTGCCTTTCCGCACAGGATCGCTGGGCCACCCGCACCCTAACGGGATGACTCTCTCCCACACTGTCTAAATGTGATGTGGGTTTCTTTTGTCACGAATGACTTGAGGATGGCGGTTTAATGGGGCATGGGTATGGGTATGGATATGGTATGGGTATAACGAACATATATGAGTGATGGCTCTGGTCAACAAACTTAGCGCTCATCAGGGGAGTTGTTATCTTTTTTTTTTGGGGGATTTATTATGGTATAAAAACTTGGGGGTCGTCTTGCCAGGTGCCGGTACATATGGGATCTACTTGGTTTTTTTTTTTCTGTTTATTTTTCTTTTGAAAATATTTGGGTTGTGTTTGGTTGAAAGTGATCTATATTTCCGGTCTTTGTTTTTCTTCTGTGGTTTCTTTCTTCTTGGATTTTCCTTAATGGTCTCGCCTCATTTTTTTCACTTCTCTTTTTTGGTGTTGGCCTTATTCATCTTTTTCTTCTTGTCCTCTGTTGATCTGCTCATCTGCTTGGTTCTTTTGGTTTTCATTGTGTATATGGGTTTTCTCCAACATGGATGTTTGGAGCTGTTGATAAACGAGATTTGGGTAGATATTCGAAAATTTTATTCTGTTGATACTATGCAATCGTGTCTCCTTTTTAATGACAAGACTAACTTAAAGGAGCAGACGAGAGCCGGTTATACACCGAAAGGTTCAATGTTGTTTGTATGGTGTACCTAGGTAGTGTCAAGATTAGTGGACCCGGCCCGGAACTCAATAATAGCACCCTGTCAGGCCAAGAGAGCTTATGTTGTATACTTAGGTATAGAAAAAGAATGATTCCTTGTTATAGAAGGGTTATATATGAGTGAAACTGGACCTGCTACTCCCAAAATCCATAGAGCTATACAAGTTATCAAACTAAATATCTATACATGGATGAAATATAAGACATTAGACAACTGAATCGGTCCAATGCATTATGTAGGAACCATGACCTGACAAAATCCACAAAGTATTTCTAGTTCTCTCATACATACCTCGCCATAGTCGTACGGCGTATCCCAGATTTTAGACCAACTTCATAATGAGGGATTTCTTTTTACAATCGGCCCTAACACCGCATACAAAGCAACTGCAACTCGCTTCGGACCCTAGAAATGAGCTAGGTAGTGCAGTACTAAATAGATAGCGTGAATCAAGTTATACCACCAATTTGAAAAAGCCTGCGGGTTCCCCCAGGCACATCCAAATGCATTCGAATGTTACTATATGTTGAAACAATATCCTTGCACGGATGGTATATTGTAATATAACAAGTCCACCAATGAAAGCCGGTGATCGTATCTACAAGTAGTAATCGCTAGGGCTTTGTGCATATCCACGAATTCCCATTCTTTCTCTGTATCCCGGGCTGGCTGGAACCCTATACTAGTTAGTGCCTATCCATTGCATGGGGTCAAGATTACAGCTCCATTCTGAAACTATCGCAACATGGTCAGTATGGGCATGTTAACGCTATTGTAACAATTTCCAGGTATAAATATCCTACCATCGAATCTCATTAGCGCCTTGTTTCCTCTATAAAGCATCTTTTCTCTATCTTCACCGCCCCTATTATCAGCTACGTCTAAAATGAATGTTCTTCCGACTTCCCTTCCTCTCGCTCTATTTTCGGTGGCCTACGCTGCCCCTAGTGGCAACGGTGCTTATACCCTAGCCAAAATGCTCACTCTGCGGGTGTTGCTCAAGCTGGACTTGAGTATTGACCTTTATACAGTGTATAGTTGTAGCAAAGAAAGTCTGGGCTCGTTCATCCCTTGAAGCGGCGTACGTATTAACAATACTCAACTTGTTAATCTTCAGCTCTATGTATATTAATTACGACTCTTTCTTTCTTTCTGAACCTTAGAAGCGTTTTCGTCACCAAGGCATCCGATTACGTTAAGTCAGTCTGTCAGAGGCACGAGCATAAATAGGATGTGGTCTTGTATAGGCTTGTGTACCTTTGTTAACTTCTTACATACTTCTATCTTCGGCTCTAAGTCACTTCTCTCCCTCCACAGTTTTGTAGTAGTTATTATTGTTATATTATGCTTGGTTTGGAGGCTTACGTCTCTCCTGTCGCTCCATATTGTTCAAACTATCTGCCCTAAATATGAATTACTAGACCTCAAGATGCCACGATGGTATAGTCAACAATAACAAGCGATTTAGATGGTATTATACCTATTGTTCCTGGGATGATTCTATCTAATTGGCTCGCGTTAGCCGCCGCCCAATTAGACGCACGCACGTACCGACATAAGCGCTTGGTCAGCGGAGTAAGCGGAGCCCACTCCGCTCAGCTTCAAGCTCCGTGAACGCGGCGGAATTTCTATCCTCATCCTCTTCAATCATTTCACTCTCAGTACGTGCTTACATTCCGGACGTTATTCTCATGCGGGATGCATTACAGGGCTGATAAACCGGTACCGCCACTTTAGTTCACGCCACTACCGCAAACTCCGACGCGCATGCTTCACGAGCTGAACAATCCCAATCAATCGCAAATACCGAAGGCGACAAGTCCGCGAGGTCACTTGTAAATCCACATAAAGCGAAAATACGGTGAGTTCACTGACGCGTAGGGCGAATCTATTCCCGAGTCCATTCGAGTCATCAGCTTTGACCCTCCGGCCTTCCTTTGTATCCATCCGCTGTCTCTCCCGTCCAATATTGGGCCATCCCGGCCATCCCCTCGCGGCTTTGTAACATGGACTGATGGGCTGACTTCTTTGTTGTCGCCTCGGCGCAATAACTCCAGCAAACAGCAAAAAAACTCTACAGATCCTGCGCAATCGTTTGTCCATCGCATATCAGAATTATCCACCACAAAAATCCGAAGTCAAATTGACTATAGAGCGAGCGGTGGGGCTATTACAAGAGGCGGCGGCCTATCCAGTTTACTCCGCTCTTTGCGGACAGGATGGCTAGCCCGTTTAATCCTTCTGCGGGCCGTGGTCACAGGGGAGGCGCGCCGGGCGTGCAAGGCTCGACGGGGCGGGGTAGAGGTGGACATACATCAACATATGTACCGAGAGGGTCAGGTGCGCCTCGCGCAGCGAGGGCTCGAGGGCGTGGACGGGGGTCGGCAACATGGACGGCTCGTGGCCGTGGTCGCGGCGCAGGCGCTGCAAACCACACCGCGAATGGACCCCAACAACCTGTAGAGGACCCCAAGCCTGGTGTTGCCAACTCACCATTTGCGCAATCAAATCAGCAAAAACCTGTCGCATCGCCGTTTGGCGCTCAGCCCGCCCAGCAGTCTCCATTTTCCAGAGTCGCAAACAATCCTTCGGCTTCGAACGTAGCCAAAAACCCATTTGCTCAACCGAACATTACAAAACAACAATCCTCGGCGAAATTTGTTGGCGGGGGTTCTAATGTTGCCGCGACCATGGAGCATGCATCAACGTTGAACACTTACCAGGAACGCTTTGACAAAGTCAGTCCCTACTTCCTCGAAAATGGACAACACGACCACAGAGCTAATCAAACTTGCAGCTGAAAATTGATCAAGTGAGACAGCGCGAACGGGCGATCAAAGATGGCCAGATGGCGGACCCGAACCAGCCGACTTCTTTGAACCAAGCTATCACCCCCGTGGGTACCTGCACCGGCATGTGTCCCGATTTCGAGAGGGTGGAGCGGATCGTGCAGAAAGCAGTCGACAAGTGTGAAAAGGTAATGGTGCGGCTGTTGCTATCATTGGCGCCACGCTGACATGCAACTTTAGTATTACAATCCGACAACGAACCAGCTAGAAATCTTGGAAACCAAGATGGTGAAACGCTTCCGACGTGCGGCAGCTGGAAATGATGAGCAATTGCCCTCGGATATCCGGACACCAAAGACCCTTTTACAAACCATGAACTATCTCATTCGCTATGTTATCAATGGTGGTGAATCGTTGGCCGTCATCCACATGTTCGTCTGGAACCGGACACGATCAATCCGGAACGACTTCTCGGTGCAGCAACTTACAAACGAGGAGGACGTAAAGACAGCGGTCATTTGCTTGGAAAGGATTGCGCGGTTCCATATCGTGTCCCTACATCTTCTTTCGAACCCGGCGAACACGGAGCAATTCGACCGTCATCAGGAGCGTGAACAACTCAACAACACCATGCTCTCTCTCATGTACTATTACGATGACAACCGCGAGCGCATTCACTTCCCCAATGAGGACGAGTTCCGCGCCTACCACATCTTGTTCTCCATCCATGACCAGCGGCCTGACCTGGAAGCCCGTGTCCAGAAATGGCCACCTGCCCTACTCGCTTCACCTCGAGTGCAGGTGGCATTGGAACTCTTTGCTGCTGCCTGTAATACATGGGAGCCCCAAGGTGCTCTTGATTCTCGCCGACCGAACGCAGTTGCTCAAGGACTCTACACTCGCTTCTTCAACATCATCAATTCCCCGAGTGTGTCATATCTGATGGCCTGTGTGGCTGAGGTATACTTCAACCACATTCGTCAGACGGCAATTCGTGCAATCTGGAAAGCCTACTGCCGGACCCCACTGTCACAGCAATCCAAAAATGACCATTGGACTGTGGGGGAATTAACCAAGGTGTTGCACTTTGATAACGACGAGCAGACAATTGAGTATTGCAATGCACAGGGCTTACAGTTTGTGGAGAACGCGAGTGGTGGACTTTATCTCAATTGGGGTGATCGTCCGGTAGACTCTGTTGGTAAGTGATTTCAAACGACAATCTCATCTCAGCCAAATATGGGTTCCTTTCATTTCCACCTCACCCTTTTCCCTCGCCCCATGTTCATTTCTTTGTTTTGTGGCTAACAATTCCCAGACTTCGCACCCTCATCTGACCACTCTTTCTCTGAAACCTACGTGGAGTCGAAGCGCGCCGGACGCAATCTTGTTGCCATCATCCTCGGCATGAGCATCAGAGAAGCCGCAAGAATGGGCATGATAGATCACTCCCAGTTGCCTCAAAAGAGTGAAACCCTGCCTGAGGCTGAGGCAGAAGACGGGGATCTCTTCGTGAGTGATATTGATAATCAGACGCCCGCACCTGTGGTTGAAACACACAACGCCCTTCTTCAGGACCCGTCTGCATCTGAATTCCGGATCGCTTCCGAGGCTCAGAAATCTTTACAATCTACTCCTGCAAGCTCGCCTTCACTATTCCAGTCAAATGCGCCGCCCACCGCTTCACAGCCGCCAAATCCTTTCGCGGCGGCCTTTCAGCCATCTAAAATGGCATGTCCTCCCTCGAATCCGTTCGCAACTTCAATACCCTCCACCACTGTTACGCCCGCAGCGCCGTCTCCTTTTACTTCTTCGCCAAATCCATTCTCGTTCCCAAAAGAACCCGAAAAGACCGCCGAGGCCTCTGCCCTGACCACTACACCCTCGCCCTTCCAGACAAAACCCCTTCCTACTCAACCCGACGCTGCCGACAAGCCAGCTGTTTCGTCTACTAGCCCTTCTCGGCCCTCGTCGTCTGCTTTCGCCTCTAGTTCTTCTTCGTCCATATTCTCAAAGCCAGCGTACGCAAACCCCAAGACGGAGCCACCTGCAACGACTCCGCCCGTGCCTACGCTTTCAAGGCCCAATCCATTCCCTCCTGCATCGTCCACTGCAGACAAACCCGCCTCGGTGTTCCCGAATGGCTCCGGTTCTGTGCTACCCTCCGACACGGGCGCTTTCACTGCGCCATCTCCATTCTCCTTCCCCAAGCCATCAGAGCCAACTCAAAAGACGGAGACACCGGCGACAGCTACTACCGCACCATCCACGCTGTTCAAACCCAGCGCTTCCCCTCATGAGGCGCCGACTGTGGATAAACCTGCCTCTGTACTCTCATCTGGCGCGGGTGCTTTCACTGGGACGTCCCCATCCTCCTTCTCGAAGCCATCAGCGCCAACTCAGAAGACGGAGACACCGGCTACAGTTACTACAGCCCCCCTACGTTGTTCAAGCCCAGCACCTCACCTCTCGCTTCGTTGGCTGAATCCAAGAACCCCTTCGCGGCTTCGACATTCTCTGGCGCTAACCCCTTTGGTGCCAAAAATACCTCTGCTGAGTCTACGGCGACTAAGAGCGATGCCAAAGCCCAGCAACCAACGATTGCATCGAACAATCCATTTGCACTTCCGAACGCTCCACTATCTTCCCCAGCTTTGGGTTTAGGAAACACTGTTACCCCTGCCGCTCCATCTCCATTCCAGGCCCTCAAAGCCCCAGAGACAGCCGTCAAATCTAAGGAACCTGCACCTGCGTCGAGTTTCGGTCAGCCCGTGTCGCCGTTCTCTGTAGACAATGCTCGCACCATTTCAGGGTCTTCGAACAAGCCTGCCAGCCAATTCCCAGTCCCCGACTCAGTCTTTGCAGTTCCCAAGGTACCGCAACCAAGCCAGAAAGCAGGAATTCCAGCAACTACTGCGCCCACGCCCGAGAACCCACCATCGGAGTTGTCCCCGTCTTTGGGTAATTTACAGTCGCCCAAGCTGAGTGGAACTTCCGTATTCAGCCAGTCCGCACCTGCACAGGCCCAATTGCCTAGCCCACCTCCTATCAACGGCTCCGCTTCGATTTCGGGCACGCGCCGGTCTGTTTCGCACACTCAAGCGACCGCCACTTCGCCTCCCCGGACTCTCTTTGAAGCACTTCGGCAGCCTAAAATATTTGACACCACGTCGAATGCATACTCACCTGAAACAGCAACTACTCAGCCGCCAGCACCCTTGTTCCCAAGCTCAGAACCCTCAGCGGCACCAGGACAGCAAGCGTCATTGAAACGACAGCATGGAGCCACCGATGCAAATGCATCACATCAACGCAAGAGGCGCTCCTCGCTGAAAGGAAAATCTCATGCTGCAGCCTCTGAAGGATCATTCAAACGGTCCGTGCATTTCGAGGAGGAAAAGCCTCTGCCGCAGGAGTCGCAAGTGTCTTCGGTGCACAAAAAGTCTAAAGTCCATGAAAAGAAGCGAGTGCTGGATGAAGAATCCGAGCCCCAACCGGAGGAACAAGGTCCGAGTACTAAGGTGCCCAAGGTTTCCACAGAGGACGAACATGTCCCTTTTAAGTTCTCCGTCTACAAAGCAGAAAACCGCCCCATGCCGAAGCTCCCGATCTTAGAAAAGCTGGAAGAAAAGCTTGCACGAGTTAAGGCCTTGTGCGAGCCAACGCGTCTTACTGAAGAACAAGTCCAGTATATCGAGGAAGCTCGCCTGAAACGGGCTCGCCAAGTCGACGAGGACGAGATTGCCCTCTCCCGGGCACGGATCTTGGCCGAGAAGTTGAGAACTGGCCCTGGAATCTTTGACGGATGGACTGAAAAAATCCGAGAGCCATGGCACGACCCAAACTCGAACCCCATTGCCCGGATCGCAGAAAAGTATCGCGCCCGAAAACTCCCCCAACCAACTTCATATGTACCCCCGCCTCTGACACTTAATCGCACTGCCAGAGGATACGAGGTCGCCTACGCCCCTGATACCCCAAACCGACCTATGACCCGCACCGAACAGCGTATCCGACGCACTGGTGCCCGTGGGTTGGCACATGTACCCCTGGATTTCGAACGTCATAAGCGAGAGAAAGAGGGGATGGCTAAGAGCAAGGACGGAAAGAAGGAAAATAACGACCAAGACAGGAAGGATGAGAATGAGAAAGACATGTCTTCTCACGGCGTTTAAGGAGATGCACTATGCTTCCCTCATTCCCCCATGTTGTAACTATCTCATGGTGTATCTCACACTGATTTATTCTCCTCTCATATGAGCCATCGATCTGAGCACCCACTTACTCTCTATGTTCATCTCATGTTTGCATTTTGTGGAGTCGTTTTTAATTGTATCTTTTTTTCCCCCCAATGGATATTCACAGCGAAAATTTATTCATGTCTTTCAAATTGCTTTCTTTTTTATATATAACTTAATATCCCTAATTGATATAGGTATATCTGAAAAATTATTTATATTGCCTCTAGAGCTTATACATTTACTTATATAACTAATTCGGAGAAACGGAGGACCGGTTTCCGTTTAGTAGGGGAGGATATGACCCTAGAGGCCCTTTACTATATATAAATTAGTATCATTAGTCCCTATATATGTCCGTATAAGATATGCTAAGGCCCGATCTAGCACTTTCGGGTGCTATAGGCACCCGTACTTGATGGTATTTAGCTGCCAGTATTCCCAACTAATAGAAAACCATGCAATACTTCACGAATCTCAGGGGCATGGTTGATTGATATAGAGTCGAATTGCCGATGGTAGGATATCGTGTGTTGGGCTGATAGCAGTAGAAAGAGAAGGAGGTGAGGCGAGGCAGGTACGTGTGATGGCATTCTCTCACTTCATTTACACGTAAAAGAGCCAACGTTAATGCACCGTAGGTCAGATATTGGCGTTCTCTTGATGCTTTTCATAGTCCATGCAGCTCTACTGTTCATAAATTTACTTTACAGTCTTGATATAGAAAGAGTCAGTAAGAATCTGTGAATATTCAAATGTTCTATGATGGTGAATCTAGAAAGCGAGGGATATTCCTGAGGCAGCAACTTTCATATGACCTGCGGCCCAAAACATTGCCCTTCCGTGCCAAACTACACACCATACCCTGGAAGTAATTACTCCTGGCTCCTACTCGAAAATCACAGTATATAAAAAAATATCTTGGGTACATCGTGATATAGTTCAAGGATTTTGACTCGCCCGTCATCATCCTGGCAAAAATCCTGCCCCGCTGTGTCCGTGTTGGGACCAGAAGTCGCGAACTTCATACCTCGACCACGTCAACACTACTTTTGACTTCAAACACATTTATTTCACGATTCACAAAAAGGATTCCTATCACACAACACGTGTCAATTCTCAACTCCCAAAAATTCTCAACCTCACCGTCTCACAAGATGAGGATCGCAACCCTTCAATTCGCGCCCAAGCTAGGCGATCTCAAAGGCAATATTGAGAAAGCAAATGCTTTATTGAAGACTGGAAAGACCGTTTCTGTAGATGGAAAAGATCTCGGGGTTGGGGTCGATCTGTTGAAGCCCGATATCCTGGTCCTGCCCGAGTTGGCGATGACGGGTACGTACCTTCCCAACAAACCGTCCAGCGGATATTGAGCAGCATCAAGCCCTCCCCCCCCGTCTTCCCCCGGTCTCTAACATTCAGCTCGGTTTGCGGGAAAGTGGGAAAATTTCACTGGCTAACAATAAGTAGGCTATAACTTCCCTTCCTTGGAAGCGATCAAGCCGTATCTCGAGCCAGCTGGTGACGGCCCCTCTGCCTCATGGGCGCGTGAGACTGCCAGACGTTTGCGATGCAAGGTCTGCTTGGGGTATCCGGAGATCGAGAAAGACTCTCAAGATCCCGACAAAGTCACATACTATAACTCAATGCTTGTTGTCGACGAGAACGGGGAGTTCATCCTCAACTACCGCAAAAGCTTCTTGTATTACACCGACGAAACGTGGGCGGCCGAGGGTCAAGTGGAGCGAGGGTTCCATGAGCTAGAATTCGCTTCCCAAGGAACGCTATCTTCCTTGACGAACCCGGTGCACCAGGGCGAGCAGGTTTTGTCCGAGAAAAAGCGGGTCGCGACTTCGCTAGGTATCTGCATGGATATCAATCCGTACAAGTTCGAGGCGCCATTCGACAAGTGGGAATTTGCGACTCGAGTGCTTGACTCCAAGTCCCAGCTTGTTATTTTGTCCATGGCCTGGTTGACGACTCTGAGCCGGGAAGAACTCGACGCCTTGAAGGATAAGCCCGAGATGGATACTTTCAACTATTGGCTTCATCGATTCTGGCCCCTGTTGCAAAAGAGGTTTGAAAATGAGGTGGATCTTGACGGCGGAAGGGCGGCAGAGTCTCCGAGGAAGATAGTCATCGTCTTTTCTAATCGGTCTGGGGAGGAGCCACCGACAGAGGATACCAAGCCACCGGTGCGATATGCGGGTACAAGCGCTATCATTGCTGTGACGCAACGGCCCACTCTCAATGCTGCGGAGAAAGATGCAGGGTCAGGTGCGCGCACCCTTGATGAGGAAAGTGAGACAGAGGATGCGGGCATCCCATTCGATGTTAAGATACTTTGCTGGGACATGCTAGGCGCCGCGGAGGAAGCTATTTGTTTCGCGGATACTACGGCAGATCCACAAATGGTATTTGCAGTGAAAAAGGCGTCCGAGTGAGGCGGCGCACTGGACGCGTCAGGCTATTCCACATAAGGCAGAGTATGAACAGGTCGAGGGTCCACCCTTGCGAGACATGACATTAAAAATGGTATCTCGATCACCCGAGTTTCTGTGATACCTCCCAATCCAAGAATATATATACTAGACGGTGTATATTGCTCAGAGTTATGGCGATCCTTCCTACAAGAATGGAAACTCCACCGATTGCCACAGGCGCATCATGTGGAGGGGATCCCATGTGATGAAGGACTCAAACGTGATGACATATAGAAGAAGATCGTCGAGATCGTCGCAGTCTTCAGGCGGAAATTCGGGTATTTAGCTTAATATCGCATCGAGGTGGAATTTTGAGGCCTCCTGATCACTCAATGTTCACGTTGATCGGTATACACGCAAAGTACTAGGAAATACCCTTTAGATATCCGATGCAACCCTTTGGAGACATGGTGGTGTGGAGGGCTTGGGGAATGCTATTTCAGGATGCTTGATCTGAAACATGTGATTCTCCTCTCTCCCCCACCCTGATTGAGAGATCAGAGGTAAACTGATGAGAACTACCAACGATGGATGCATCCTGTAAGTTGGGTGCATTTTGAAAAGAACTCGTGTTATATCATGATTTAGACCAGTACACCCACTACATGATGCACGACTTTGTTTCCCATTGCTACCACGGTCCTGTGATATTCCCTGTTGTGTTTCCTGATTCGGTTGAAGGGGGTAACTATTCCATACACTAGTGGATATAGCCTGATGACTTGCAGGAAAACAAGGATGGACAATCACCTCGGATTGATGCCGGGTATATTTTATGTAGTTAGTCGGTTTCTAGTGTTTCTAGTGTATCTAGACTACGCCTGTATATCTGCTAATAGCGTAGATTTATGAAGTTCTTTGTATCCGACGGTCTGATCACCCCCTCGTAGTGGGTGAAGAGCACCTGTGATTGGACCATAAGATATCCCTACACGTGATCAGACGAATCCCTCCCCCGAGATCCGGCGACCAATCAGATACCGAGAAAGTAGGTGTGCAGCAGAGGGGCACGGGATGGCTGCACATGACTTCCTATGAGAGATGGAGGCGTAGACATCCCCGGGGCCATTCGAGCATTTTAGTTGGTTATCTTCAGCTCTTGTTGTCGGTTTCTTTTTGGTTGTGTTTGCAAAATTGTCTAGACCTCCAGGGCTTCCAGGTGGCTCATTTGCGGTCCACGTGTATGCGATTTGCTTATGTCAGTGTATATTGTTCACAAGGTTGAATAGGGCAGTCAGGTGATTTATTGCACTATTGGTCGTTCTGGACCACCCGATTCAGCGCGACTCCTCCTCTTGACCACCTCCTTGCCACGTGAGCAATCCATCTTGAACTTGTCCGCTACTCTACATCTTCCTAAAGAAACACATTTTCTTATTTCTAAATTTACCGCGAGGTAGATTACTAGGTTGTTTGCATATCCCCATATCGGCTTCCTCAGATTTTCAACTTTCACATTTTCACATCCCAATTTCGAATTCGGGGTTTCGCAGACAACGTGACTTGAGTCTTGTTGTTGTCGGGCAGGTGACTTCCTGTCAGGTGATAAAGAGAGATCATCCAAGGTACGGCTCCATCAATGCCCCATCTTCATCCATATCTCCCCATGTTATTGCGTCTCCCGTCGCGATGCTCATCGCAACTGGTGCCTTTCACGATGCTGCCCCCTGTGTGACCTGCGCTGCTTGCATGCCATCATGACGCGTTCCTGTTGTCTGCAACCTCGCGGATGTTTCGAGATATCGCATTATATGCGATCGCTCGACAACATCACTACCCCGTAGAACTATCTCCATGCACTGCCGCTCCGCCAGGAAAAAATCCACTGGCGATGGCCAAGTCCGACGTGACTGGCCTCCCTAGGATGACTTATGAGCGCGTCGGATCTACGCGTCTGTTTACTTCGCGGGGTGCCCACTGATCTTCCCAAGAGGGACTTGATCTACTAAGCACCAACTTGCCGCAGGCTGCATTGACATCCCCAATTACATACCGTTCTCTTGCTCTTTATTTTCTCCGAGACTTGTTCCACTTCACTATTCACTTACTGGCCACTAACCACTGATTAGCTTTAGGGCTTAGCATGTCTGATCCCACCATGAACAGCCCGGATAACGGCTCCCATAAGCGCAAGAGAGACGGCTCTGAGGATCTTGGTCCCGACCCGCAGCGTCTTAACCGCTCTTCCCACGGAAGCAACGGCAGCATGGATAACCAGCACAACTTCGCCCACGGAGGACTCGGAAACTACGACCACGGACTTCCCAACACTGGGGCTGAACTCAACATCGATCAACAAATTCTTCAACATGTCGGTCCGCAGAATGGCCTGTCCGACGATAACGCGTTGACTGCCAATGCCAAAGCCGCCCTAGCTGCCCACACTCCTCAACACAAGTACCCCCCTCCTCCCGATTCCGGCTTCGATGCGAGCAATCTCACCCAAGGTTTGTCCTTTGGCGATGAGATGAACCAGACTCCCATGGGCGGTGGTCACAACCACAATTCGACCGCCGCTGCGGTCTATGCGGCGCGCGAGGCTCAGAGTATGAACCAGAAGCCTACCGTTGGTTCCCCCGAATGGCACCAAATTCGCAAGAACAATCACAAAGAAGGTAAGGACCACTTCAAATAAAATTCGTGTTTACATACTGACCCCTTCCCTTAGTTGAACGTCGTCGCCGCGAAGCTATTAATGAAGGTATCAACCAGATTGCCCGTCTTGTACCAAACTGCGATAAGAACAAGGGTGCGATACTCCAACGCGCCATTGAATATATCCTGCAGCTTCAGGAAGAAAAGAAGAACATCGACGAACAATTCGAGAAGCACAGCCTGACTGCTAATCATGCTATCGCCGAGATCAGTGGCTCGAACTCCAAGCTCAAAGGCGAGGTCGCCCGGCGCAACAACATTGCCCTGAAGTGGCTGTCGCGTTGTCGGGATGCCGGCCTGGACTTTGAAGATTACGAGGAGTCAAAAGAGCTAGAGTCACTGGAGATGGATTAGGCTTATTATCCTTATTCTTCTGCATGTGCTACGACTTGTTGCGTTTCCGGAGGTCAAGACTTGAACATACCCTCATCTCTCTGTTTTTCTTTTCAAATCTGCTATTCTGCTGTTGACAGATCTTTTCTCTTACTACCATGGATGTTTCCTCCAATCGATGTAACCTCACCATGGATTTCTCATTGTCCCCCTTTTCCTCGCCATACGGTCTGCCCTTGGCATTCTGAGTGTTAAATTCCCCGTTAGCTACCCTTACAACTTGTCTGTGCAACTTCCTCTTCTGTTGCTTCACCCCTTTGATCATTCTCTGCTCACACACATTGCGGTCTTTGTACGCTACTTGGGCCTTGTTCTTTGTTCTTTGTTCTTTTTTTTTTTTTTTTCTTTCTCTCTTTGTTCTTTGTTCTCTTTCATCATTAATGGACTGTGGGATGGCGAATCTACGGCTGGGATGGGTTTGCCTTGGAATGGTGCTGTAGGTTGATAAGTCCTTTTTTTTTTTTCAAACTGCTTTATTGTATCTCTCCGTGGATTTGTCCTTGTAGGAATCGTGTCATAGTTGTATATTTAGTGGTGTTGGGTTTCACCAAGTCACAACACGAGTAGATGGTGTGAGACTAGGATATCCATGGATATTACATTATTGAATAGTTATTGCCTATATAGGTAGCCCTATAGATATAATAAGAATAAGCCAATAAGCCAATACATACAACATCGATATAATCCGCCACTGACTCACGTGCTGATCAGCTTATGAGGCTACCTGGCTACCCCTCTATGATGTCAACGAAGTCCAGGTCATCTTCCTCTTCTACTTAAGTCTGTTTTCCCCTTTTTCCTATCACTACATTTCTACCTAGGTATAAACCATCTCAATATGTCTTCCTATATTGTGAGTAAAAATATATCCAGAACATACACTCCCATGGGAATTTCGCTAACCCTCTTAGATCACGTGCAAGCCAGACGCAACCGACGACCAGGTTCAGGCGTATGCATCTCACGCCCATATTCAATATACACTATACTAATATCTCAATGTCTTTTAGCGTCAAGGATCACGCTAAGGAGCAAGGTGGCACCATCGGACACGAGTATTCGTTAATCAAGGGCTTTGCGTGAGTTGCTCTGACACTATCGGTCGTCTTCCAGCGTAAGATGGCTAATCCTTGGTCTTGTTGATAGTGTTTCTTTCCCCGAGGATACCGTTCACAGTCTGGACTCCCACCCGCATGTGGAGCATGTTGAGGCCGATCAGGAAATGAAGACGCAGTAATGATCTACTAGATGTGAGATTTGGCGGACAGCATACATACACAGCCGAACAGATTCGTTAGCATGTTGCATCATCATGGCCTATTCTGGTTGCGGGGTATACATTTGAGTCTTTAGTCTTTACCAGCCAACTACGGATTTACGATACAGAGAACCAATGACCTATATGTTCCAGAGCGAATGAGAATGTGTGTGACCTTGTAAATCGACATTGTTATAGATCAGTTGCAATGGACTAGATAACCTCGAATACAGGAATCACCATCTCCTCACCAAACCACCTCAATAAAGAATATCAACAGAAGAAAAATAAATGTACAATTCCACACCCTCAACGGAAAATCTACAGGTTGGACCCAGCAGTAACCTCCTTGCCAGAGCTAACTCCGACATCCTTGACAACAACCGTCTTGCCGCTAGCACCGGTAATCCGTACATCAACGGTGCTAGTCCCGAATCCAGCGGTGTTCTCAAAGAAGTTGTAGTAAGTGCGGGTGGTGCTCTTCCATGAGCTACCGCCATCAGTGCTAACCTCCAACGCAGTCACAGCCTCGTTGGCATTGACAACCTGCATCGAGAACCAGTAGGCGGATGTGCCCTCCTTGTTCTTGAGCTTCAGCGGTCCATCCAGATCACATGAGACATATGACCAGGTGGTTTGGATGATGCCGGCGGAGATGTCGGAGAGCTCGGCGAAGGCGTCTTGGAAGAGGTCGAGGTGGTTGCTCTCGCATTCGGGGCATTGGTCGACGATCTTGGTTGTGTTAGAGTTGCTTTGCGAGGGTAGAGGGATGGAGGACTTGACTTACCATTGCTTTGATGGAGTTACCCTTAGGTCCGGTGACGGATACACAGGCACCGCATTCCGCTGCGTCGTCCCATCGCTGCAGAGAAAGGGCAGCGCCGAAGAGGTTGCTTGGGAGGGTGTAGCCGGAGAACGAGCATGTTCCGCCGCTGACGTTACCGCCGTAGAAGGTGGCTTTGCCGGGGGTTCCGTTGGAGGAACCCGTGGAGACAGATTTGCTGGAAGCAGACTTGGTGGAAGAGGAAGTGGCAGATTCGGTAGAAGTGCTGGCAGCCTCGACGGGAGCTTGCGTGGTGGAAGTGCTGGCGACTTCGACGGGAGCTTGAGTGGTGGAGGTCTGCGCGGTGGCGGTCTCCACGGCTGGGGCAGCAATGGTCTTGACGACAGCTGCAGTCTCAGCTGATGTGGTAGGCAGAACAGCCACAGCTGGGGCGGTCTTGACAACTGCGGCCTCGACGGCAGAAGTTTCGGCGGCAGAGGTCTCAGCAACAGAGGCCTCAGAGGTCGTGGTCTCGATTTGGACAACTGCGGCGGGGGTTGTAGACTCCACGGCAATAGCAGTAGACGACGAGGCCACTGTAGGCTCGGCGGAGGGTTGAGACTCAACAGTAACCGGAGTAGATGTCGGGGTAACTGTAGTCTCTGCAGAGGTTGCAGTTGGGTATGTTTCCACAGTGACGGTCTTGTAGTAGACGCTCATAGTGTAGCCCTTGGGGCAGTATCCGTCATGTTCGCGGGGGCCTAATGGGCCGGCGGACACAGTAGCAGCGCTGACAAGAGCGGCCACGGAGGCTAGGCGAAGATACTTCATTGTTGAATATGTAGATCGAAGTAAAGAATGAAGGGTTCTGGTAAGACAAGATCTCGAAGATGGAAGATCGAATGAGTGAAGTCACAGATTGACTCTTAAGGATAGGACGTGCAGGCGCACAGAAAGAATGGATGTCTGGATAACGAATGCCAGATTCGAAAGAATTACTGTTCCAGACAGGAAGTGCAAAGGAGGCAAAAGAAGGTATGAGAGGAGAGGGAAAAGATGGAATGGGGTGAGATATAAGTCTACTCTGTAGACACACTGATGACCCATCATAGTTCTCCTGCATATGGCTTGATGAACTAGTAATTTGTTCATTTCATATACTCCGTCGTAAAGAACTACACTAAAGATGAAACATGGCGTGGATCCTCAGCCAGTGTGAATTCTCCGGAGAAGCCGAAAACAGTACTTGGCCCATTATGCTATTCCGAGTTAGGGCTAGTGGGAGATTGTTTAAATTAAAGAAAAAAAATGAGGAAATGACTGTGAGTCAAGGTGAAATGAGATTGCTGATTTGGGCTATTAGTGGATTCGCCCGTTAAAAGAAAGCGAATCGACAAGAAAACTAAAGAACAAGTCTATCGAGCATCCCACATAATCTCGTTCAGCCTCAGTAGTGCATCCGCACTGGCCTTTTCGCAGACATAAAGTCCTCCCGGCTCTCCGCCCCGCGTGGACCACGGAGAATTTCAGAGAAGCATAGGTCTACGAGGACACGCAGCTCCTCGTAAGTAAATGGCTCGCCGTTTCCAGCAGCCAATGCTTTGTCGCCTTGTGATGCAAAAGCCTCCTTCTCTTCCTTAGCATAGTCCAGGGTCCTCTCGGCACCTTCCAGGAACCAGTCCAGGAATTTTGCGCTGCGAGGTAAAGCGACAATTTCTTGAGAAGCCTGCACGTGTAAATCTGTAGCCGAATCTGATGATTCAGCAGCTGGGTCGATGATGATGTTCTTCAAGTTCTGCTGGAGAACAAGCACATCAAGCTGCAATCGCAGCGCTCCATTCTCATTCATAGCCCCAATATACTGGGTACAGGCGACAAAGACCCGATCGATAAATCTTGCCAGGCCCGATGTGATGAACCAGCGCTCAACAGATCCCAGGTACGTCGAGATGTTAGTGTCGAATGCGATGAGATCATTGTTGAGTGTGAGGATTGTGGGTGAGGCAGCGGTCGGTTGATTCATGATAATGTGCCACCAGTTGTCCGTTGTGTGTGGGGATGGAGTGGCGGGTTCGGAGTTCCTCAAGTTAGGAGGGTTCGGCCCGGCCATTGTTTTAGTCAACATGTGGATGATGCCACAGCGGATGTCAACATGCATCGTCAGAAGTGCAGTATCCCCAAGCCGGTGTAATGATTGGAGCGTCCCATCAAAGGCCACGGCAGTCTCGTGATTGAGTGGCAAATGCACTGGGTTATTGATGCTATCACGATTAGGCTTCATCGATCCGAACAGAGTCCATCTACGAGATGGCCGGCCAGTCGCAGTCAAACTGGATGACTCGGCATCAGCGGTCTGATCAACCACAAGTCGAATTCTGGCGAGGTGACTTGCAAGCCATTGCATGCTGTTGTACAAGAGCGAAAGGGAAATGACGGTTTTCGGGTCAGATATGATGTCGTAAGGCTCCAGTGGCACTTTCCCCGTTCGCTTGAGAAGAAGGTCGATTTCCGTATCGATCAGGGTCTGTTTCTTGTCCCCAGCATTTTTCCACAGTTCGTCGACGACATCATGGATGTCGCCTGAATCAGCAAAGGAAGCCGCAGCTTTCAGTCGGACTTCGCCTCCTCGGTTCCGTGCAGAAACTTTTGTGACCATTGCTTTGTACCACCCACAGCACTTGTCATAATAGGTCACGATCTGGTCAATAAGAAGCTGCGTAAATGCTTGATCTTGTGGAATACTCGACAGCATTTTGCTAAATTCTCGAACAATGGACATGAATTTGACCGTTCCCTTGAAAATAGGCCGAGGAGAGGCCTTGGCCCAATGGGGGTCTTCTGTAAACGCATCTGCAGCAATGAAGCTGAGCGTGCAGAGATCCGTCACTGTCTCATCCAACTGGGGTAGGAAGACGTTCACCATGAAGTCATCCAAAA